TTCCTATGTATATTATTATACTTCTTAGTGAACACCTTGTTTTATACACATGTTTCATATGATATTTTTAATTAGTGTTATAACTATGATCTCAACCCATTCAGTGGGTTTAAAAATAATAACATTAAAAGAAAATACACCTCAGAAAAGAATGAAAGAACATGAATGAATAGAAAATTTATAGAAGAGAAAATGACAGAAAAGAACTGACCACCAAACACATAATTTTATCAGTCCTCTAATTTTTAAAAAATAATTACAAATGCTCAGAATAAAAAAACTTCCTCATTAGCATATTTCACAAATTTGATAATAATTAATAACAATAATAATTGACATAATATAAACATTTCATTTTGATTTTACATTGCTATTGGTAGCAATGATTCTGGAAAGTGGCAATATGTGTCAAAAGAATTAAAGATGTTTATATTCTTTGAATCATAACTTGTTTAAAATACTTTTATATTAAAGCAATAAGAAGAATTGAGAGAAAATTAATGTGCTATAGAGATGATAGCTTTTTTTAAAAAATTACAATAGTGACATGAGAAACAGCTTAATTTCAAAAACAAAAATATTTTAATAGTAATAAGTTTTAGTTATAGAATGGAAGACCAACCATCTAATGAAATCCATATTTAAAATCCTATTTGTACTGGAGAAACTTGTTCAAAGTGAAATACTTTGAATTTAAAACTATATGATGCCAATTTGGTAGGGTATAGACACCATTTATATTAAAATAGAAAACAAATGTATAAAAAAGCATATAAGTAGCATAAGTTTGTCACTTATAAATTGCGTAATTATGAGAATTTTTATTTTTTATATCTTATTTACACAGTCTGTGCCTAAATAGATACATAATTTGTTTTATTTTATTTAACATAGGTTTTCCTAAATACACTCATTCATAAATAAGGGCTTATTCACCCTCCATTATCTCCATCACTTATCATAGTATATGGCACATTGTCAGTGTTTCATAAAGATTGTGAAGTAAATGACATTCCTCTATTTTCTAAATGTTATCCTGTGAATCATATTAATATCCAATGTATAAAATAATATGTTTAAGTAAAAAATGAAAAGTATTTCAGCAATGAATCACATAGACAAAATATAAATAATTTTAAAATATCAGATATATTCTTGGATGACTAATACAAAATAAATTACTAAGGAAATCTGAGCTACTAAGTGACTTATGTGGAAAAGGCATTATTCCCCCCAAAAACTGTTTTGGTTGCTCTGTAAACAGAATCAGAACACTGCTTTTCATAGGCAGAGTTGATTATTGGATTCTTAAAATATCTTAATATTTTATCATTTAATTATTCTAATTTGAGATAACTTGATTTGAAAAATCATCAAATAATGTATAAACACACTACTATTTATTTCTCAATAAATATTCTCTCAACACAATGATCAAGTATAAGGTTAATCTTATTTTAGGGTCATATATTTTGCTAGCTAGCTAGTTTTTGCTTAGTTATGCTATTTTAATGAATATCTTTATATGTAGATAACAATAAAATAAATTTTTCAATATAAACTGGATTTATTTTGGTAGATAAATTATCATATTAATAAAACACTCAAACTTTTCCTATTACACTTAATTTCAGGATAAGGAATTGGGACTTTGGATAATTTATTCCTAACCAGTTAGCACCCATAGAAATGAGAAAGAAAAAAAAAAAAAGAACAGATTTATGATGTCTATTTTTTTTTAAAGTCCCTAAAACCCTGAGGATTTGAAAACTCACATTCTGCATGGTAAATATTTTGATACACTCTTATTCATCCATTTCTGTTGTAACCTCTAGGATAAAGTTAACATTAGATTATAATTAGCACAGACCCTAAAGTTAATTCTTTTCTGCAGCAATTAAATTCAAACCTTCCAAACTTTCTGCATAGCTTCCCTATACCAAATTCTACTTTATTCTTTTTCACTCAACAGTGTGAGAGGAGAAGCACAGTTCACCCACACTGGCTGATAATACCTGTGACTATGCCTTGAGATTTCACCAGCTGGAGGACAACTTGGTCAGGAACACAGCTGGGATGTGCTGAGTCTGCTGGGTCTTTAACACTCCTTTGAGTCCAAGAGACACTTGTTGGTATGCATGACTGGCCTTCAGAAATTGTCAGAAGAAAGTCAATGATGATCACATGACATTCAATATTTCTGCATAGAATGTTTCCACTGGTGTCAGTATCACTTTTGCTACAATACTCTGTATCAAACAAGAATGATAGAGAAATAAAATAATAAATTTTATAAACACTTGAGGTATCCATCTAAACCTCAACTTGAGTAGTTACCAAAAGTTTGAAAAAACATAGCTGTCTCAGAAAATCTCGTGAGATTAGGAAATAGTTAACATAAAATATTTTTATTATACAAAAATAAAAAGAAAAATACCCATATTCTGCCTGGCATGATTTATACACTTATTTTTATACAAAGGAGGCAAATTTACAATTGTATTTGTGATAAAAATAGATAATTGTTAAAACGTGCAAAAACATTGGCCTATATTTTTCACAGACATCCTAAGTATATACATAACGCTTGATGGATTACAGCAAATATAAATACAACATTGGGTTGACTGACTTGAAAAATATTTTCCATTTTTTTCTTGAGTTCTCTTTAAATTGTCTGAAGAAACAGATTTTCTATTTAAATAATAAAAATTAAGAAAGAAGCAGACATAAAAAGGCTTAAACTAATGGGTTTGAATGTAGACCTTTTAAAGCATCAAAGTCAAAATTATCTGTTCCACTAGTTCTAGCCACAACTGTCAAAGCATTCTAAAAAAATTATTTAGTTCAATAAGCAGCTCCATGTCCTATTTAATTCTAGAAGTATATACTAGTTAGTACAAAGAAGCTGGGTGGTTTTTTTTGTATACCAACCACATCAATCTGCATACTTAAAGGGTTCCAATATGCCAGTGCTTTAGAATTCTTACAAATGTGCAGTAATAACAGTTGTGTTCTATCTCTATGTCAGCTACACCATTTGAATTCTTTCCAAAAGCAATTTTATATGGTCTGAAATTGCTTCTCTCATCACTCCCAAAGCAAAACTGTCTTCTCCTTCTAAATACTGGTAGCAAAGCTAGGTTCTCTCACTTTTTCTATTGTTGATTTGCCTTTGGCTTATTCTGTTCCCCACTAGGAGTTAACTAATCACTTTCAGAAAGTAGGCTTCTAACATAATAAAGGTATTGAAAAAGCATTCTAGAATTCTTCAAGCAATTGGACTTTTTTTTAAAGGTAGAGATTAGTTTTCAGACATGTTCCGATCTACGATCTTTCAGATTCACAGATATTAGTTACTCTACTTGGCTGTTGTACTTCTCTATTTATGCCTTCTACAAGCATATTACCAATTCCAAAACATTTCATTTAGCAACAAAGTATTTAATAACATTTTTATATGTTTTAAACCAAGTGACAAAAATTATTCTAAAAATTAGCATTAAAAGTATCTATAAAATTGCATAAATCGGCTTTTTTAAGAAAAGTATAGGGTTACATTTTTTATTGCATAGGCTTCATTTATCATTGTGTAATATTAATAGGTCCAATGATGTATACATATTTCTAAAACTTTGGGCAAACACTAGTGAAAAGTGATAATCAGTTATTCAGTTATTAAGGCTTTAATAATAAGCTTCCAATTTTAGTAAAAAATAAATATAATTGATTCTAGAAAATCTAGCAAACTATATATATTTAAATATTTTATCATCAATATCTATAAGTGAAAATATAAAATATTGAAAATGTATAGGTATATCATGCCTATTTTCTTTTGAGTATTTTAACTTTTAATTATTTTAAGTAAATAATTGGGCTATTATTCATTGTTGATTTTTTTTAAATTTTCACAAATTGCCGGGCTTGGTGGCTCAGCCTGTAATCCCAGAGCTTTGGGAGGCCTAGGTGAGTGGATTGCCTGAGCCCATGGGTTCGAGACCCTCCCGGATAACTTGATGAGACCTCATTTCTGCAATAAATTAAAAATCAGCCAGGTGTGGTAGTGCGTACCTGTAGTTCCAGCAACTAGGAAGGCTGAGGTGGAAGGATCACCGGAGACCAGCAGGTCAAGGCTGCGGTGGCCGGGAGCGGCCACTGCACTCCAGTCTGGGCGACAGAGGGAGACTCCAACTCAAAAAAAAAAAAAAGATACAACCCCAAGATGAAATAAATGAATAAGTACATAAGAGAGAGATAAATGTTTATTATAACACAAACAGAAAATAGCAGAATGGTATCAGGATAGTGTAATCAATGTGAACTTTACAATTAAAGCAGGCAGAGTGCATAAAATTTTGAAATAATTTTTCAAAAACTAAGGTCTAGGAATAGGTTTTTAATTGTTTTAATATTATATATTTATTATATACTCCCATTTTACCTGTTATTTATCTTAAAATTTATTAAAAGTTAAGTATATCAAATATTGTATTTTAATATAAAGAATAAGAATACGTGGCTTTGAGATAAAATTGACTTACCATACAACTTGTCAATTAAAAATGTAATATTCAACAGCTTCTTGTATATTCACAGCGCTGTAAAATCATAACTACAATCATATCAGAGTACATTCATCATCCCAAAAGAAACCTTATAATCATACACAGTTTTTCCCCAATTCCCTTCAACATTACCAGTCCTAAGCAACGATTAATCAGTTTCCTGTGTCTATAGATTTTCTTAATCTGAACATTTTATAGAAATTGTGTCATATAATATACATTTTATTATTTCACTTACTATACTGTCGTCAAGTTTCATGTGTCATGTTGTAGGCTGTTAGTATATCAACTTTATTTTATTGTCAAAAAGAATTCCATTCCATGGATATAACACTTTAATATTAATGTAGTTATCCCCTCAATTGTCAGAAATTTAGCTTGTTTCTACTTTTTTTTTTCTGTGAGATATATCATTCTATTTTAAGTTTATGTTTCCTGCAGGATAGTAACATACATCTTTTCCTATCTGGAGGCAAAACATATTTTCCAAGAATTTGGACACTGCCCACTGCATTAAGTTTAAATTAAAATATTCTCTATGTATATAGACAGTAAAAGTAAGCAAAGAAACTTATGACACATTCCACTTTTTTTATATATCAAAAATGTTTCCAAGGCAATATTATTAAAATGATTATACCACAGTTCCTAATACAACATCGAGCTCTAACAGGAAGGTACAGCGAGGGCAGAAAGGTTTAATTCGGCCAGTAGTTTAGGTGCTCTTCTTTTCTTCACCTGGTAAATTCACGGTTGCTTTCTTGGCTTCTTTAGTGATGGCATCTGCAGTCTCTTTGGCTTTGTCTTTCAGGTCCTTCACCACAATGTCCACCTGGGACTCGTGCTTCACGAAGAAAGGACAGACGATGCGCTTGTAGAGCAGTTCAGCCCCATTAGAAGGGCTCGGGGCCATGCACCACAGCAGGAAGCCACACTTCAGCATGTAGGAGAAGGGGAACCATGACAGGAAGAGATCAGAGAAGAATTCGGCAATGCTGAACACAACATACACTACCCAGTAGGTCAGCCACTGGGTGTCATCTTCTTTGGGGCTCTCTATGGCTTTAATTGAGACGTAGGCTGGGTAGCCAAATCCTATCGGGTTGCCGAGGAGAGAGGCTCCATAGCCGAATGCCAGGTGCAGGGCCACCAGTCCGATGGCACCGAGCGCAAGGAAGCTCCGGGTCACGCGGTCTTGGACTCCAGCTTGGCCAGGAGGTCAGTCGTGCAGTTCTTCTCGTGCAGGA